AATTTCACGTTCTATTTTCGTATCCGTTGCTAGGCAACCCAATAAACACGTGCTCAAATATCATGCCCGCAAGTTAAGGAGTCATGTTAGGGCGCATTCGGGCGCATTGCCGCTTACCCCCTTGCCAATCTCAGGGCGCATTCGGGCGCATTGCCGCTTAATGAGTTAAACTTGATTATATAGTTTTACTGTGGCCAAAAGGACGAATGAAAAACATAATTGTTGTTGGATAAACATTTATTCATTCATCATAGAAAGTATGTCCTCTTGCATGTGTACACTGTGTTGCATGGGAAACCATAAAATCCAAAGTCTTTGATCTCTTTTTAATCAAGGCATATTCAAAAGGCGAATGAAGACCAACTTTATAATACGAACTCCAGAAGGACGTCAAATATGCTTTCGAACGTTTTTAAATGTTTCATGCTTATTTCGCTTCCCAAGAAACACAAAAGGTTAACTTATACTAGGAATTTTTAGAACCACTGAGTATTTTAACAAAATACAAAACAATTTTTGATTTCAAAACAATTTCGATTTTTTGAGTTTCACTTGTTTTGTATTTTATACTAGGACATTACCCAAAATTAAAGTTGAGTTGAAATGTTAAAATTGAAATTGTTAATTTTTGTGGAAAATGGCAATTTGTTTTCATATAATTTGATCAGCCATGTTTCTCGATTTTTTACTCAATTTTAAAGCGTGCACCACATTCAAAACGTTTGTATCTCACATAATATTACATAACATTTTTAGGGCTGTATATCAAAATCTAAGTTAGCCTTTCCTCAATACAATAAAGTTTATTTGAGTGTAATAGCTTTTATAGTTTTTACCTTACATGTAATCAAACACCGCACATTTTTTGGGACACCAGGCACTTGTTTTCACCTTTATGAAGACAAGTGAATTTAATAAAGTATGGAAGATCTTGAAACACTACAATTTAAGAGTCCCTACTCCATGCCAAAAGGGAGGTCGAATTGATAAGACATAAGATAAAGACATTTCAACGAAGAGTAAAATCGCAATGTTAAAAACTATTCAGAAAGATGACAGAGTTAACACAGAGGGGAAAATGTCTGAACAAGTGGTGTGGTTTAAGGATTGTATTGTGAAGACAAGTGTTAAAAATAAAGTATGGAAGATCTTGAAACATTACAATTTGAATTGGAACCTATTCTATCCAAAAATTGAGGTCGAAATAAGAGAAAGAAATACCAGGGCAAATGGAGATAGGGTGTGTAAATTATTTTCTAAAACTGAACGATTTAGAAACAGTCCCATTTAACGCTTGATTGACCAAGTGTTTTGAGTCTTTCTGGTTCTTGAGTAAGATAGATAGATAGATAGGTTTATTAAAAAGAAACACATTGCAGTCTACGATGACTGAATTGCGTGTTATTTTACAAAAGAGGTTAAGTTCTATAGAGCTATAATTTACAGGAACATTTTAATTCATATAAAGTTAATAAAATATATACTATAAGTATTTATAAATAGATTTATGAAAATTTATTTGAAAGGTTATATAAAATTGAGTATCTAAGAAAATTCTTTGATGCACGCCGGTATAAAAGTTTTTAAAAATCTATCTGTTTTTATCTTTGGAAGATGAAACTCTCGAGTTTTTCTAAACTCGTAGTTCACAGAGTAACGTTCTGGCAGTCTAAGGGATGATAATTTATGATGTGGATTGTTGATGAGTTGATTGAATAGTTTTGAGCAGGCCTTGTATCGCCAATCACTGAGGGGAATAAGGTTGCATTTTTGCAAACGCTCGGGATACGGCAAGCCTGGAAAAATTATTGAGATGACTCTTCTTTGGACTTGCTCAATGGCGTCACTAAGATAGGTAGGCAGGGCAAAATGTAAAACTTCGCAGCCGTACTCGAGTACAGGCCTTACACATGTGCAGTAAAAGTTAATTATATCTTCCTTCTGACCTTCTTGATCATTTTGGCAACGTTTTTGGACCATTTTAAGTCGTTAAATGGTTGAAGTCACCAGCGATGATAATACCACATCCGGGGAACAGACCTTCGATGTCTGTTAATGATTTTGATAAATATTCTAACATATCATTATTGTTAGCACATGGGGGGTGGTATACTGTAGCAGCTACAATACATGGAATTCCTCTTGGGAGTCTGGGGGGTCTTATTTGCATCCAGAGAACTTCAAGGTTAGGACTTCAAATTGATTAAGTTGATTGACCTTAATACACTCCTTAGAGAAAAAACATACGCCTCCGTGTTGGGCTGAGCTACGGTCTCGTCTTTTGATGTTGTAACCCGGTAGATCAACATGATTATCTCCAATAGATTCTTTGAGCCATGTTTCTGTGATGAAAACAAGATCCAGATTATGTTTAGAAACACACAAACGAACTTTGTCAATTTTGGGTACTAAAGACATGATGTTTGATAAAAGTAGGCTAGGCGCAAATTCTTTGCTGACAATAGCGCGCGACCCTTGGCTCGCGGATAAGTGCGTAACTTCTAAAGGGATATTAATTAAATTACTTCTGGTAGTAGAAAAGAAATTGGTTGTTGGGTTTTTTCGGAGCTTTCTTTGGGATTCAATTGTGGGAATGTTCATCCTCATGGTGTGGTCGGAAGATTCAAATAGACAATCCGTTATGGTATCGTTCTTTAGTTCATTATGTTCGAACACTTCTCCCGGCGAGATCTCCAACGAGTCTTCCGCCTTCCAAAGGTTCCGTGAAAAACCCGGATTGTTACTTGATTTGTTGTACGGTGTGTCAATCAAAGGCAAGAATTTCAGCCACTCCGGTGGTGCCGGTCGCGGGGTGGGAACTCTGTTTTCTCCGTTGACAGATCTGTGAGTAATTTTCTGACTAGTGGGAGGATGACCATAATTCTGTCTATTATTTACGGTATCAGGGTTTGATTTGCCGCTTGAACCTTTGTTGTTGATGACGTTGACGTTTTTGGAGTTGTTTGATAATTGTTTAAGGCCATCTTGATGTAGGTGTGTTAGTTTGGCCTCTTGTTTAGTCACACTGTTGTGTTTTGTCACCGGGTACGAAGATTCGTTGGTTTGGGCACAGTTGACACACGAGTCAACTGGGGTATTAACCGGTTTCTCACTTATTTGTTGTAGTAAAAGATTTTCAGATTTGTGACCTTTTGTTGTTTTGGCCACTATATGTACGCATCATTGAGTAGGGTGATCAGAAACATGCTTTTGTTCAACTTTATGTAAATTTGCTTTCAATTTTTCCAAGTCTAAGCTCAAAGTATTAACTTTATCAGAGAGAGCACTGTTTTGCTTTGACAATAACTCTATTATTGCTTTATCGCGATGTGTGGCTTTCTGCTGATCATCTCTGATATCTGCCAATTCGGCACGAGTTTGATCTATTGCTTGACCATTCTCACGAACCCCACTTGCAATTTTGCATTCCATAATTACGATGTCTAGTTTGGTGCCTTTAAGATCGGTTGAAAGCTCGTAAAACGAACTGGGTATATGCTCTTTGACTTTATTCTGGGTAAGATTTTCGTTTATCGGATTAACGTCCGTTTGAATACAGATCTCACACACCGCATTCTTAAAGATTGTGCCTTGATTATCAATGTGAGCAAGATTTGTACTCATCGGGTATATATCCGTCTGTATACCACATTCAGACACCGTTTTCTTTGAGGTTAGGTCTTGACTATAGATGTAATTAACTGTAAAGGCTACATGATCATAAAGTTTGTTCATAGCGCTTGACATATTTGGTACGCTCTGCTTAACTTTTGACTCGTCGCTTATGTTTATCAAGTTCGTTGTTGTTTTATTCCCGGAAGAGTCCTCTATTAGTTCCTTCAGTTCGCGTTGAAATAAAATTGATTCCGTATTAGCGTACCAAGTAATACTAATCCAATTACTTTGAAATAATTTCGCACTCCCACCAGGCGAGCTCCACTTGCCTTCATCGCCGAATAAATTGACAACAAAACTCTTTAGTTTCACTAAGCCGCCGGACCATTTTACTTTATTGTCGTTGTTATACTCTAGATAGCTTTCGTACTTTAATAGAATGTGGAAGAAGGTTACTTGAAGCTGTTTAATTTGATTTTCGTAGGAGCTACACGAAGCATGTTCGGCAGCCATATTAGTATGTTGTCAACCAAAAGATAATTATCTGTTTTCTTTTATCTTTAGTTCTCTTTGTCTTTACCTTTTTATTTTAGCTTCTTGTTATGGAACCAAACGACAAGATCGTCGAAGTTCCAGCTTTGTCTACTCTGATTAATTTGCTGCCTACAGACCCCACGTTAATTGCTATCCTTTCTCCCATGCAGCAAACTATGGTTGAGAATAAGCATTTAATCTTAGACTTAACAGCATCACGCTCCAGTCGCACAACATTCAGCTTCAGAAGAAGCAAATCCACCAGCCTCAGAGGAGGCACAACATGCAGCTTCAGAGGAAGCACAACAATCGTCCAACAGGGACAGTGATGCCCAAGTACGAAATAGTGAGGATGGTCTTAGCCTCTTCAGAGAAAATGGTTTAGAAGAGGAAAGTGATAGATTTTTAGACCTGATAGATGACTCCCTTAGATCAACCCTCTTATGGTTTTGGGCCTCCTATCTCAGAGACAGTAGCCAAAATTGTGAACGAAAAATTCAACAAAGATTTGGGTATAGATAAGCACAAAGAGATATTAGAGAAATATAAGACACCAGCAAACTGTACAAACTAAACAAGCCCATTTGGGCAAAATTGAAGGGTTTTGATCGCCAACATGATTTGCATGTGGGCGGTGGGTGTTGTACGACTCGCTGGTCAGAGTCTCAAGCGTTTTATCTTTGACGATTGACGAGCTCTTAAAAGGCTGTGAGAACAAGACCTCAGTAGATTCGCCTGTTATCGCTACCAGATTATTTGACTCATTGGCACAGTTAGGTCATATCAATACTGAGCTATCTTTTAAGCGCCGGGACTCATTGAAGCCCTTGCTTAGCACTGAGCTTAAATCTTCCTGTAACACGTCAAATAAGCCACAAAAAATGCTCTTCGGAGATGACTTAGAGGGCAAAAATTATGACTCGTGAGCAATATATTCTCTTAAGCCACGATATGCCCCTTACCCCATCGACACAGCGAGGATACTCCCCATCGCAACAGCGACATGCATCAAAGCCTTCTTATCCAACCGGGGGAGGAGACCAAATCCTCCCCACAACAAGAGAGGAAGACAGTCCAGACATCTCGTCATTGATTGCTCAGGTAAATAATCACTCACAGATTATTGACAGATATGTTAGGCCATACCTTATAAATTGTATTGATTGTTTTATTGGTGGGCAAATAAGCCAGTGCCTTACAAAATGGGTATCTATTACATCTGATCCCACAATTCCTCAGACCATAAAAAAGGGGAAAAAATTGAATTTTTAGGACAGCCTCCAATGCAATATGTCTGCCCTAGTAACTCAATTGCTAAAGAACTTGTTGCTGAGATTGATAATGAGGTCAACAGCTTAATTAAAAAAACAAGTCATCAAAGAATGTAATCATGTACAGGGTGAATTTTTGTCACCCATTTTTCCTGTACCAAAGAAGGATGGCAAAGTTCGGCTGATTTTAAATTTGAAGAATTTAAATCAGTATATTCCTTATGTGCATTTTAAAATGGACAGTATCTTTTCGGCATTAGAGTTAACAACTCAAGATTGTTGGATGGCAATCCCTTGATTTGAAGGATGCCTAGATTTGGGATTTGTAATGCATGTAGAAAAGTCAGTGTTTGTCCCTCAGCAGCAGGCAACCTTTTTAGGTTTCCTCATAAATTCAATAACAATGAAAATAACACTGACTCATGAAAAAGTTGACAAGATAACAAGTTTTATTTCAGGGTTACTTGTGTCCCACTCACCCACAATTAGGGAAGTTGCACAGGCAATTGGCTATATTGTATCTAGTCTACCAGCAGTTAAATATGGCAAATGCCACTACCATGCTATACAGAATGACAAAATATCTGCCTTAAGAGGCCAAAGGAAATTTTGATTCTACCATGTGTCTATCCCCTTGCAGAGTTACAATGGTGGGTAAATAATTTATCCATTGCATTTCATTTTATTCAAGCACCTGATGATGCTTGAATAAAATTGCCTCCCTTACTGGTTGGGGTGGAGCTATGAATAATATCTCCACTGGGGGACACTGGCAGCCCAGTAAAGCAAAGCACCATATAAACTACTTAGAACTTTTGGCAGCTTATTTTGTGTTGAAGTCCTTTCTGAAAGATGTTATGGGTACACATATAAAAATGATGATTGATAACACAACTGCCATTTCTGTCATAGTCACCCATATAACTCAAGTGCCTGTCAAATTTGGACACTGTGTGGGGAAAATGGTATTTGGCTTACAGCAGCCCATATTCTGGGCAAAGAAAATGTTACTGCTGATTATGAGTCCAGAAATTGTAACTTAGACACTGAATGGATGCTCAATCCAAAGTATTTCTTTCAGGCATTAAAAGGGATACCCTTCACTCCTGTGATTGATTTATTTGCGTCCCACATTAATAAGCAATTTGACCAGTATGTGTCCTACAGACCAGATCCATTTGCTAGCGACATTGATGCATTTACTATATCCTGGGCAGATACAAATTTCTACTGTTTTCCTCCATTCAGTTGTATACTCAGAGTTGCAAGAAAGATCATACGTGACAGAGCCAGGGGAGTTCTAGTAGTACGACAATGGCCAAACACAGTCATGGTACCCCATACTCTTACCAATACTGGAGCAACCACCAGTTGTCCATTCACCAGCTCAGATTCTGTTACTGCTGCCGTCCAAGCCAGCGCAGAGACACCCTCTACACAAGAAGCTAAGACTAGCTATTTGTCTTGTATCAGGGGCAAATTACAGGTAAGAGGGTTCTCTACAGATACAATTGACATCATTCTGACTTCTTGGCGGGAAGGTACCCAATCTCAGTACCAGTCTGTTGCAAAGAAATGGTTTGAATTTTGTGAAAAGAATCTTGTGATGTTGTTTCTACTCCTGTGCCTTTGATAGTCGTATAGCGTTTGGTCAATTACCCATTGTGAAAAGATTCATGAAAGGTGTATTTGAGAAATGACCGGCATTACCTAGATATAGTTTGACTTGGGATGTGAATCTTGTATTCTCTTATATTAGGAAGCAAGAGCCTGTGAATTTGCTTTCCCTGAGAGATCTCAGTCATAGGGAAATGATGAAAATTTTTACCAAATGATGAAAAACAGTTATTTATTAGTTGTATAAGACCTCACAAGGCAGTCTCACGTGAGACCATTTCTCAACGGATCAAGAATTTTATGACAGTTGCTGGTATTGATACATCTGTTTACAAAAGCCACACTATGCGTGAGCCTCTACGTCATTCCTTTTTGGGAAACAGTTTGATATTATAGGTGCAGCAGGTTGGACTAAAGAAGGAATGTTTCACAGGTTTTATCATCAGGACACTGTTTCAAATTTTAACTTTGGTAGTGCTTTATTAAATGCTAGTGTATAAGATCATTTATGACTTTGTTGTTGAATATATTGTTTACTATTAATGTTACTTTCTTGTTCTTGCTTGATTGGATATAATATTAGTTCAATGACAGCTCTGAAATCTCGTACAACTCCACTTCTGGCTGATTACTTGTAGAATTATAATCAAACTTCGACTTAAGGTAAGTCTCGTTTAATTACCAATTAATGACTACAATTTTAAATTAGATAAATAGATTAGATATTAGATAAATTAGATATTACTAGACTGTGATTGGTTGATTTCAGTGCAGTTAATCCCAAACAGCACTGCAATTTTCTGTAATCACAGTGCAAAAATCTGTAACAAACTGATCTGATTGGTGAAAAACATTGTGATGATTAAATGCTATTTTGAGGTCTTTGAAAAACTCATGCATGCTATTTAACAATTATACCATGAGCTCGAGTCGTATATGAGCTGATAGCCGACAAGGTGCGTAGCACCGAGTCATCTATCAGCCATATACGACGAGAGCGAATGGTATAATTGTTTTATAATATAGTCTAATATAGCCATTAACTGAAGCAGTAATTAATTATTCACTGTTACAATGTGTTGACAATTTTTTCGGCCAAAAACTGCTTGAAAATTTGAAATACTTTTGTTTTACAACTTGAAGACGAAGTGAAAGAAATGGTTTTAGAACCTTTATATCTCACAGGAAAGCTCAGATATATTATACAGATGTTTGGTACTATAGTAGGTGCTTGTTGACTGCAAATTCATTTGTCGTTCATTGCAAACTTTTCTGAACAATTTATATTCTCAATGAACATGTTTTTTCGCTTTTGTTTCGGTATTAATTCTTTAAAAAACTTGTATTTAAACTAATTTCTACGTAATAAATGTATTTTGCTAACCTGTCAAATTTTTTTTGAGAGTTTTTCCTTGTACTATTATGTTTCTCAAAGCGAATATTTTCCTTTTTCTGCTTCGCAAAACTCATGTAGTTTTTGGACCACCATCTTGTTTTTCACTACTCGCCATATATGAGCTGATATACGGCGAGTAATTCAACCAATCAGATTGCAGAACAGCTCATATATGGTGGATGACTATATTATAAATCCAAATTGCACTCGAAACCATGCTATTACCTATACTAATGCACATACAAACAAACATTACGATGTAAATAATTTTGTATATAATTTTCAATTAATGCTTGTAAACCTGTTGTAATTTAGCCAATCCGCTATTGAACATGTAAAATAAATCCCACTATTATATTGCAAATATGAAATCTCACGATCAAAGCCACAAATGCAAAAAGAAATTTGAACATTAAAAGAAAAACAACAATCAGAAATGAGTGGTTTGTTGGCAAAATTGGCCTAAGTTCAGACCAGTCCAAAAAAACACCAAAATCACAAATGTGACAACCAAGATTAAAAAATGCAACAACAGGATGCTTAACATGCGATGACTCTTTGAATTCTTCATTTCTGCATCATGAATTTAAAATTTCTGGTCAAATTGGAGAACCCAGTCAGGCAGACAAACTGACATTTGTTTTGCTGATTCATCAGATTGATTCAGGCTTAAAATGCGAGGACAATGAAAATGAGATTGTAGATGCTGTCATTCATGTGATTTCATTACATAGCAGTTTAAGAAGCTTTGTTGAAACTTTGCAGATTTGTCTATGCCAAAGTCGCAAAAAATTTTTGAAAAATATATGTGTCAGAACTTTATCAAACTCTTGCGACAATTTTCCAGGACCCAAAAGAAATACCTCAACAGTTTGTCCTATTTTCACTTGATTTTAAAACTAAAATAGGCTTTGCTAGTAAAGAATCTGATTGTGAAGTTCAATATGATGAACCACATATTCAGAAAACATTATGAAGTTTTTCAAGACAGGATTACGAGACAATATTTTGGTGGAAAACCTACGTCCCATTTTGCGGTTACCTACAATCCTGGTCAAAAATCCTTGGCGCACTTAGTTGAAATAGCATAACCTTTACTTCATTTCTGATTACCATATACATCCTTGCCAATTTTATGCAAAATTTCATGTCTAAACACAAACACCCCCTATCCCCCTTATCAATGTTGTGTAACACCATAGAATAAAGATCCATATAGAAGGCCCATTTACGTCGGAAGCTTTGAAGTTTCTGTCCTCGCGCATGTCGCATTATGCATGTTGGCCACCATTTTCCTAGCCAATAAACATATGCTGTACTGGCTGGCTGCTCCGCCTTCTGGCCAGTAAACTGCATATTTTTTGCATAAAAAAAACGCGGACACGTTGCACCGCCGAGTGGCCCTTCTGTTACTGATCTTTATTCTGTGGCAACACCTTGGACGTATAACACACTACACACAACATTGAACAGGGGTTAAGGGGGGGGGGGGCTGCTATGCTTGTTGTTGATGTGGGAGTGAACTTTCACACAGTCAGTGTCAAGTGAGCCAACATTTTTGACCAGGATTGTAGTTTATATGACAAAGAATTAATGAAGAATGTCAATAAACTTGCATGTGAAAGGCGTTCGGCCAAAGTTAATGTGTCAAGTGGAGAGTGCACAAATTAAAATGTGCAAAAATGGTGGAGATAACAACAAATTTTTAGCCAAGATTCAAGAGATCAAATGTGACCTTGAGAGTCTGAAAAAAAGAAGGTAACAATGCTATCGGGAAGTATCATCCGGTGGTCAGAAATTTCCGAGGGAAACACAATACCGTGGTAGAGGGTGTCAAACACGTAAAGACCGGAAAATTGGTGGCATGTGTCAACATTGTTGTGCATGCATTGAGTTTGGCCATATTGTATCAGAGTGCACGAAAAATTTAAAGAGTCAGGGAAACACACGGTCTAGCCGGAAAGTCAACATCATGTCAGTGCAATTGTTTAAAGAACTTGAATCAAAACTTTTGGCAATAGAGAGCTAATTGGCCTCATCATAAAACATTGTGTAACACCATCAAAAGTAAGTTAAGTGTAAGAATCTAGTGTCACAAGATAGCCGTTTTGAGCGTTTCATGAGCCACCTCACTCCAAAGGAACATGAAAAATTGATTAGTCTTGTAGGTCAAAGATGTACAGTGGTTTCATGAGAAGTTTTATGGGACACAGGAACCCAAGTATCTATTGTTTCAGCCAAGTTTTTGAAAGAGAATTTTCCAAACTTGTATCATTAAAGACACAAGTTAACTGTTAAGTTGTGACCTTACACTGACAGCAGCCAATGGGAACAACATCCCTTATGAAGAATTGGTGGAGTTAAATTTTCAAATAGTTAAAATGTTCAAATTTCATTTATTTTTTTCAGTTTTGTACAAAATATTCAAAAAAACAATTATTGTGTTGCCATGGGCCCATGGCTAACATGACATGAGCCTGCATTCAGTGTTGGCGTGATTAATAATACTCCATGTAGAAACAATGTCTGGAAAATATAGGTGAGGGGTTCTTGCATGCATGTATTTCTAGTTTATCATAATTTATGTTTCATGAATATTTTTGCAAATAAAACTATAATCTCTGAGCCAACCGGGCGTAAGGCGAGGGTACTAATTCCGCCTGTGATAGAAAGCAATAGCAAAGCAATAGCGGAAAACAATAGCGAAGTCTAAAGTTCACAGTGGCGTAGCTAGCGAAATTCGACAGGTCCTGCTCTAAAACGCACACATTCTAGGGGGGTTCGGGGGCATGCTCCCCCGGAAAATTTTTAATTTTAGAAGTCTGGAATAGCCATTTCCTGCGATTTCACGGCAAAATACTCCAAAGGCAGCATAAAAAAATTAGATACTTTTCTAGAAAAAAATTTGTCACTTTTTGAAATCGTATTTCCATATTTATCATATTTCACTATATATTTTTCAACTTAAAAATTTAGCTAAATATAGTCAAGTCGGTGTAAGAGGAAA